GAAAGAAAGAAAGAAAGAAAGAAAGAAAGAAAGAAAGAAAGAAAGAAAGAAAGAAAGAAAGAAAGAAGGCAGGCAGGTAGGCAGGCATTCTTCATAGCTAGGAATTGAGGATCCAGTGCGAGAAACAACAATAGAGCAAATTCAGATGTTTTCTTTGTCCATCCCCATCTTCTGTCAGCTACTATAATATTCTGCATTTATATTCAGTTGAAGATACTTTATTGTCATATTCTCATTTTTACTGTAATCTACCCTGGGATGACTTATATCATGGAAGTTGGAGTAAATTCTCTTTCAACTCAGGCTTGACTTCTGATGATTTCATAACTGTCTCCTAAAATTACTGAGAAAACTACATAAAAGTGTCAGTGTTGTCACTAGTAGTTTGAGCTTCACTTGAGGGTATTTTTTTTATCATTTTTCATCTTTGACATATAGTAGCTTCCAAGATAAAGATCTATCCAAGTGTTAATCAGAACTGTATCTGTAATGTTTGCTTATGCATTTAAATTAAAGGCCACTTTGAAACTCTTACTTCTAAAATGTGGGGCTGTTTATACAAACCTTCTCTGGTGATGAGGAATCTGGCACAGTTTGCGCATCTTACTGTGTTGCTATGAGACATAAGCACTTCAGTGCTGTGGAATCCATAGATGAGAGCAAAATGTAATAATCAAATCTGACAGTTCCCAAAGCTTTATAGAGCCTGAAATCAGATTTATCTTGAGGAAATTTATCACATAGTTTTGATCAGAGTGAGTCAATCCACTGAATTATTATTGGAATTTGTTTGTTCATAAATTATTTGTAAATGACTTTCTAGCTATTAAATCAACTCAGAATAAGTGGTAGTCACTATTCTTACTGCAGACTTATATTCTTACTGCCAACTTATAAATTACAGAAGAAATTCTTAATTCCTAACACAGAAGCTTCAGGTACTTACCACCTAAATCATGGCCCATTTTACTTGAATTTTGCTTGAGGACAAATTCCTACATGTTAATGTGACTTCCTAAAGATGTCCCTTAGAGTACAGTTTATTTCCGAAAACTCTAAAACTGAAATATTGAATAATATATAAACATATAAGTCTCCTAATGCGCAGGGCAGACTGGTTTTAAAAGCAATATCCATCTTTGTGTTAAGACTAATTCCTCTTGTTTAATTCTGAATACCCATGCAGAAAATAGTGTGTGCAACCAGTGCAATGAAACTTTTCTCTTTATTACTTAGTTATTAAATGAAGGCAGAAGTTGTTCAAAGCAATATTGCACAAAACTGATTGCTTTCTATTAAGATAGGAATTTGATTTAAACCTGGATTGGCATGTTCTAGAGAAGAGAAGATGGCCTTGACAGAGAGTGGGAAGATCCATTACTAAGTTAACAAATAGAAAAAAAACACAGTTTAATAACCTACAGAGATGGAAATTTGCAAAGATTAAGACATAAAACTCAAGACTGAATTTTAGCCCCCCCTTCACCTAGGGGCAGATGTAAAAACCTGCCCTAGGAATACAGATGACCCTGATCTGATTGGCCTTCAGAAAGCAGTGGCTTTCCTTCCAGTCACTGAGGCCAGAATACTGATGGGGCTGTATTTACTAAGGATGCAAGATTTCGTTAATTTTGGTTGGGTTTTTTCTCCTGTTTTAATGGATTTTTATAATTGTACTATGTTTTTATTTTGTTTTCTGTCCAGAGTACTTTACATTTGTTAAATAAATAAAATTAAAATAGTAACATTAGATATTTGCTCATGAAACCTATAATAAATTATTGTTGCTGTTGATGTCCCTTCCTGGCCCAGCCTAGCAATTTTTTGTTTCTGGCAACATTATAGCAATAGCAATAGCAGTTAGACTTATATACCGCTTCATAGGGCTTTCAGCCCTCTCTAAGCGGTTAACAGAGTCAGCATATTGCCCCAACAATCCGGGTCCTCATTTTACCCACCTTCGAAGGATGGAAAGCTGAGTCAACCCTGAGCCGGTGAGATTTGAACAGCCGAACTGCCGAACTAGCAGTCAGCTGAAGTAGCCTGCAGTACAGCACTCTAACCACTGCGCCACCTCGGCTCCTTTATGAAGGAGCATTATGAAGAGCTCCCTATCTTTGCTGCCAATTGCCACATCTCAGTAACAAGTGGTGCAAATGGCTAATAATCATTATTTGCCCTCTTTATTATAAGTGGACTTTTGATTGTACCAAATTAAATGAATTATTCTCTTTTGGTATTTGGGGATA